CCCCCCCCTTTTTTTTCCTCCAAATGATTTTGAGTTTTGTTCCACATTGTTCTCCCTCTCTATCAAGGAGAAGGAGAGGAATTTTTAAAGCACAGGAGATCTTTAAGGAAGTGCCCAGAGTGTGCGTGTGTGTGGGAGGGGGTTGTTACTCTGGCTCACCTCGAGAACACTAGTCCCTGCTGGGAGACTGAGACACCACAGGTAATAAGGGATGGGCAGGGCAAATGTCTCTGACTTGTCTAGTTTATCTAACCCCTGGTGTCAGCAACCTCTGGGTGACCATGAATCAACCTGTAACCACAGCTGACTTGCTGCCATTCAGTACTGATGGCTGCATACTTTGTAAGCTTCTAAAGCAAGATCACTATGTGTACAGGTAGTATATATAAAACAGCACAAGAATCAGTACAACTTGTGCTTTTAAAACTAGTATCCATGTTTATGCACAGGGACAGTTCAGGGGACAGGAGCGCATGGGAGGGAAGGACACAGGGAAGAGGTAACTATGGCGAGGAAGTGGGAAGAGAACTGTTGCACTGTGGGAAATTGCAGTCAATGTCATGAGACAAAGTGTATGTGATCTGCTGTATGGAAAATCAATTTTCTCTGTAAACCTTCACCCAAGTCACAATAAAAATTAAAAAAGAAAAAACTAGCATCTATCCACATCACAGGTAAATATTTAAATCTAGTACTTGCTTGCTTTCTAGTTAGGATCCGTCACAGTTGCTTCAATCAGAAGTTGGGGTTCAATATTACATACTGTCTTTCAGATTGACCAACATTACAGTCATCCTCCTGCATCACACAGAGAAGGATGCAGGAAAACTCAAGAGTGGCCAGGACCTTTTGCATTTGAGTGAAAAGAGCTCAGTTTAAGATGAGCCAAGTAAATAAAAAAATTATACAAATCAGGCAAGTTGCCACATTTCCTTGATTTGTAATTCCCAATCCAAGAGAAATGAAAAATTATATTGTAAAAGCCAAGTTTTCTCCTTCAAGCATGAATCCAAAATTTTATGCATTAAAGTATTTAGAATTGTGAAGCAGAACAGCATACAGCAAACAGCACATCATGTCCTTTTTGAAGGTTTAAAAGTCTACCAACTGTGAAACTTCAGCCCAGTGACATAACTTCTCTCAGATAAGTTCTCACCATTGGAATATCTGGGAATTAGAATAGAACAATTTGAGAAGTTTTAACAAAGGGACTTCCTATAAAAGCTGTGGCAAGGGCCAGGGGACCACAAAGGAGAGGGCAGTAACAAGGACTCATGATTGCACAGATGTCGCCATGCCTAGTCCTAAAGAGACAAGAGGCAAGACCAGTTGCTAAACCAGGAGAGACCCATGCAGAGAGAATTATCTTGGTGCAGGGACATGGCCAGCCCAGGGTAAACCTAATCTCCTACCGTAGGACAAAAGCAAAGGAGCTTCAAGGGGCAAAGAGTAGGGTGGAGAAGGGATAAGGAGGAGTAACCGAAAGATCTTCAGCACTGAGGAGTTGAGGAAGTGAATAACATCTGTCTCATAAGGTTATCATGAGAGTAAAGAGAAGTGCCTAGTGATGAGCTGGCACATAGCATATACTCAGACATTAAGTATCACTCTTATTTACCTGGAATCACATTCAAACTGCATGAATATAGTTCATATTTCTTAGTAAACATTAAGTAGGATAAGGAATACTTAGCTTTCTCATACAGACCGAGATTTAAAGCAGAACTAAAACTCATTTGAGTAACAGAAGAGTATGAGCAAAGAGAAGAAGTTCCTGGTTAGGTGGGCTTTATCTTCATGAAAAACTTTAGGAGATATCTCATAATAATAGTAATACAAAATAACATAGATGAATCTGGAGGACATTATGCTGAGTGAAATAAGTTTAGCAGAAAAGAAAAAACATTATATGATACTACTTTTATAGCAAGTCAAGAATGGGTTTGTACAGAAAGCAACATTCTTTGATGGTTACCAGAGATGGCCCAAAGAGGGAGGGAAAATCACTTACTAGACAGTAGACGTGTTGATTCTGGTGAAGGGAAAGGCAATACACAATATGGCACAACACAACCAAGGTAAATGAAGACATTGAGAGTGTGGCAAGAATAAAGGCCAACTACAGTAAATTCTGGAATTCTAGGACACTTAATTGTGTCCATGAGGAACCTGTTTATAGACCAAGAGGTTGTTGTTTGAATAGAAAAAAAGGGATACTGCATGGTTTAAAATCAGGAAAGGTATGTGCCAGGGTTGTATCCTTTCACCATACTTATTCAATCTGTATGCTGAGCAAATAATCCAAGAGGCTGGACTATGTGAAAAAAAAAAAAAGAACAGCATCAGGATTGGAGGAAGAGTCAGTAACAACCTACGATATGCAGATGACATAACCTTGCTTGCTGAAAGTGAAGATGACTTGAAGCACTTACTGATGCAGATAAAAGACTATAGCCTGCAGTATGGATTATACCTTACCATAAAGAAAACAAAAATCCTGACTAGAGGATCAATGAGCAACATCATGACAAATGGAGAAAAGACTGAAGTTGTCAGGGATTTCATTTTAATTGGATCCACAGTCAACACCCATGGAGGCAACAAAAGAAATCAGATGTTGTATCACACTGGGCAAATCTGTTGGAAAAGAGCTCTTTAAAGTACTAAGAACAAAGATGTCACTTTGAAGACTAAGGTGTGCCTTACCCAGGCCATGGTATTTTCAATCACTTCATATGCATATGAAAGATGGACAATGAACAAGGAAGACCAAAGAAGAGTTGATGCCTTTGAATTATAGTGTTGGTGAAGAATACTGAAAATATCTACCAGATGAACAAACTAATCTGTCCTAGAAGAAGTGCAGCCAGAATGCTCCTTGGAAACAAGAATAGCCAGACTTCGTGTCACCTACTTTGGTCATGTTGTCAGATGGGACCATTCCCTGGAGAAGGATATCATGCTTGCTAGAGTAGAGGGTCAATGAAAAAGGGGAAGACCCACAACAAGATGGATTGACATAGTGGCTGCAACGATGGCCTCAATTATAGCAAGGATTATGAGAATGGCTTGCAACTGGGCAATGTTTAATTCTATTGTACACAGGGTCCCTATGAGTCAGAGCTGACTTGATGACATCTAACAACAACACAGTAAATGCCATAACATACAATTCTCCAACAACAGAACCAAAATTTGTTAGTGGTTACATAGGTAGATATGTGTGTTATGTAGGTACAGAAGGACATATGGAGTACATGCAAATGCATATATAGGTATAGTTGTGCATATTGGTATATACATATTTGTTTGTGTTGCATATATATTCTTATATATAATAGAATACATAAGGGGCACAGTATGGAAACTTCTTAGACATAGCCAAACACCTTGTGGTACTGAATAACAATTGGGTTTGAAGGCTACAGACTATAAGTCTTGAAGGATACCTAAGGTCAATTGCAATTCTACATCCTAGTTTGGTGAGTAGCATCTGGGATCTTGAAAGCTTGTGAGCAGCCATCTAAGATACAACTATTTGTCTCTTCCTATGTAGAGCAAAGGTGAGTGAAGGAAACCAAAGACTCAAGGAAACAATTAGTCCATAAGACTAATAGCTCACACGAACCTCAGCCTGCTGTAGCCTGAGACCAGAAGAAGCAGATGGTCCCTGGCAACCACTACCCATCTCTCTGATCAGGAACATAATAGAAGTTCCCAGTTAGAATGGAATAAAAATATAGAATGAAACTCAAATTCATAAAAAAGACCAGACTTACTGGACTGATAGAGACTGGAGGAACCCCCGAGACTTTTGCCCTAAAACATTTTTTTAACCTGGAACTGAAGCCACTCCCAGAGGTTACCTTCAGCCAAATAACAGATTGGCCTACAAAATAAACACCATCACCCAGGAGAAATACACTCCTTAGAACAATCAACTATATGCAACCAAATGGGGAACATTTGCCTTAAAGCAAAGATAAGAAGACAAAAAGGGGCAAGAAAACCAAATGGATGGAAACAGGGAAGGTAGGATGGAAATGGGGAAAGTAATGACACATTGTGGCAACAGCAACCATGCCATGGAACACTCTATGGATTGTTGAAAGGGAAACTAATTTGATGTGTAAACTTTCGCCTAAAACAACAAAATGTTCAAAAACATATTATTATTATATTATCATAACAAACTCATGAGGTAGGCATTAATATATCTATTATTCAAATGAGGAAATTGAGGAACAGAAAGGTTAAGTAACTTATCTAAGATCACAAAGCAAAACCAAGAATTAAACCATGGAGCCTGCCTCTAGAGTCTATTCATTTAACTACCACATGTTCCTGCTTCTTAGTCGAAGAGCACGTAGGCAAAGCAAGAAGGCAAAGTTCATCTGAGAGACATATCTGGATGGGTTGAACTCAGTGGTGTATCAGGAAAACAAGGGCTCAACTTAGAACAAGAAGAGCCTAAAGCACGAACTGCATACCAAGGTGGGCATAAACTGGGGATCAGTATATGCACAGGTAGGTAGGGACAGAACACTAGGCAGAACCATCAGGAAGCCAAGGCAACCCTTCCACATCCAAAAGATGAGGAAGGGGAAGCAAAGCCTGGCCCTGTCAAAAAAGTTACTTTATGCTTTCCCTAAAGCAGGAGTCAACAGGACCTTATTCCACTGTGTCTAAAGCTTCACCTACAGCAACTTTACACATCCAACAGATTTGATAACTGCAGAATAGAGGCAATAATAGCAGAGGCAACTACTCTCACAGCTTCTCTGAGTCCATTCCACTGTACAGGACACAGCAATGAAACATAAAATGGAAACATTTAATTCCAAAACCTTTGTAGTGCCCAACAAGATAACACATGAATAGGGCCTGGAGGACAGGGTGCTAGGAATAAATTAGAGAGGCAGAATGTGCAAGCACAATTCCCTCAGCAGTACTTCTGGGTAATGGAACTGTTCATTGCACAATCCTCACTTTCTTTCAAGAGCCAGCTAGTATCATTATGTTCTTGCTAAACAAGCATTAAAAACCAAATCCAAACTCACTGCCATTGAGTTGATTCTGACTCATAGCAACCCTCTCTGGATTTCCAAGCCTATAAATCTTTATAGAAGACTGCCTATTCTTTCTTCCATGGAGTAGCTGGTGGGCTTGAACCATCGACCTTTTGGTTAGCATTCAAATGCCTTAACCACTATAACACCAGAGTTCCCAAATAAGCATTAGGACAGGTAAACATTTTCTTGACCTGCACATGACATTCTAAGTGGAATGCCTATCCTCTAAGTATCCCAATTAAACAGAAAACTGAGGAGAGAGGAAAAATAATGGAGGTACTTTGTAATTATCTTCAATGGCATTTTTTTAAGCCAATTTTCTAAAATGGGGAAAGAGAAGTATGAGAATAAAGATTAAATGGGTAAGGAAGCAAAACTTGAGAGGTAACATGGACTTGGAAGAGAATGACAAAAAAAAAAAGAATGAAAAACGAAAAACCTGGCATAGCTAAGAGGAAGAAAACAGAAGTCAATGTACTCAATCACATGTATGGACAAATAAAAGGGGAGTACATGAATGCTCTGACCCTTGTTGCAGATGCAAACCGTTCCACTTCCAGAACTTGCACTTTTATTGGACAGCCAGAGAGAAACATCCGTATGTTAGGCTCCTTGAATCCTTGAGTGTTATAAATAGCAGAGAAAGGAATAGACACTAAAAAAAAAAAAAAAAAGTAAATAATGTTTTTGCAAGAATAAATCATACCAGCATATACTTGTCTGTTACAGGCATCCTTCTTAAGAGTCATAATGCGTTAAAACAAGAAAACAAGTAATGAAACCATCTCAGCCCAGTGTAATGATATCAAGAGGAAGATCAATCACTTCCAGTTATTTCAAATGTGGGCTCTGCCAACCAGTTTAACTCTGATGAACTGTCTCCCCCATCCTGCCCCTCCTCAGATCACTTTTATTTACCTTCCCGTGTCTTGGGATCGCCCGGGGACACATCGAAATCCACCTCCTCTCCCTCAAAGTGGAGCTCCCGTGTGTCCAGATTTTCTATTAGATTGCTCATGTCGGCAGCGATTTTCTGTAGTGCAGAGGTGTTTACTCTTGGCTCATTTTTCAGTGACATGTTGACTTCTGACAGGGTAAAAGCAAAGGGTCTGGCAAAGAAGAAAAGGGTTACAAGGATGTATTGCTTTGGTCAAAGAAAGCCATGGCACACATTTGAATACAAGCTTAAGTAGAAATTATGAACACAAGTCACCTATCTCTGTGTGAGCCCCAGTTATCCCAAACCTCAGTATATACTTGCCTGTTAAGGCATCCTTTGTGTGTGTGTGTGTGTGTGTGTGTGAGATTTGGGTGAAAGTTTACAGAGCAAATTCACTTTCCATACAGCAGTTCACATATACTGTCTCATGACGTTGACTACAATTTCCCACAAGGCAACAGCTCCCCTCCCGCTTCCTCCCCATAATTACCTCTTCCCTGTGTCCTTCCCTCCATGCACTCCTGCCCCCTGAACTATGTCCCTGTGCATACACAGCCCTTCTATTCTCCCATGATTTTTCTCTCCAAAGAGTGTCTACCTAGTGTAAATGTTGACCTCATATGCCTATCTTTTGTTTGGCTGGAAGCCACAGGAGTGGGTTCAATTCCAGACCTGATGGGCAGCTAGGGGCCATAGTCTCAGCGGTTCCATCAGGATCTATCAGACCAGGAAAACTGGTCCCTTTTTTCCAAATGATTTTAAGGCACCATTTTTAAGAATCATAATGTGTTAAAACAAGAAAGCAGCTAATGAAACCCAATTATGTGTGAACCCCAGTTATCCCAAACTTCTTATTTACTTGTTTAATATTTAAAGAATTCTTAGCTTGCAAATTAAATTGGATTGAGATACTTAATCATAAACAACAAAGAAAAAGAAACAAAACATTGATTGAATGCCAGCATCACTCATTCAATTTTATTAACTTGAATAAACTAAGAGAAATTAAAAGGAGACTAATTTGGGAATGCACTCTCCAGACAGAAACTGATGCTTAACTAATACATGGAAAAAAAGGAATACCATGTAAAATGATCAACTTTCAATATTTCTAAAGAAAATTTAAGGCGTTTCATAATAATTGTGACAATTACGTGATTTAAAAATAATTGTATGCTCGCCTGACAGACAATTCTATATTTCATCTATATACTATACACTAGGCAAGATGTCCATGATATTTCTGAGATATGAGGGTGTGGCCATGATTTAACATGAGTTATAATGAGTATGGGTTTTGAAACAAAACTGAATAATCTACCTATTCCAAAAGATACCTTAGGTACAAGAATTATACTTCTCTACCTCTTTAAGAAAACCCATTCTATTTCATTCTGACATCTAATAACACAAGTCGTTGCACATCAGTACCCAGCAAAGAAGAGTTCACATAGATTTTATTTTTCATTTCCAATACTGAAATTTAAGCCTGGAGCACTGTCATCAGAGTTGGATGAAAAGTCTATCTTGCCTAATGTAGAAATAATCTCTTTGTTACCACTACGTGGTAAAATCTCATACCAGTAAGTCTCTGGCACATGTTCATTTATTACTGAAAACCATAAGCATTTATTATCTATGATGTGTGTGATGCAATGAATGAGTACATAAAGAAATAAGGCACCTGTGATTAAGGAGCTCTTGATGTGGTTAAGGGAAATAAACTACATAACCTGAAGTTTATCCCTGGCTGCCCTCAGGGTCCTGGGCTTCCTGAGACTACAACATGCTGAGGGAGGACACCTAGCTGGGTTCTCTCCAACAAGTGCTGTCAGGGAGCCAGCTCCCTAAGTGGGACTGCCACAGAGAAGTCTCCAGCAAACTTGGGCAGCCCTTACTATAACTTAGCAAGTCTCAGAAATTTGCATGGTGTGGTAGTTAAGGTTGTGTGTCAATTTGGCTGGGCCTGGTTGAATGGCTGGGCAGTTGGTGGAAGTTATTCCCCATAATGAGACTGGCAATCAGCTCCATGGTGGGATCTACCA